CCACCAGATAGGACTCTCTGTAACTCCTTGCCACATACAGATCTACCTGCATCTCTGACCACCTTTTCTTATTATGATAAAGGATCATCTTGTGATCTAAGCCTGGTTCTTCTTCCCGGGCTCTGAATCTCAGGCTTTGCTTCATTGGTCATCTCCTTTCTTTCCTGCCTCTGCAGCTCCACTCCCTACTTGCTTCTCTTCTCGGCATTTAAATATGTTCAAATCTCTCCCATCTTAAAAAATCAACAGCAATAAAACTTCCCTCTACATTATGTGCTCCCTTCACTTCCATCCTATATTTCTCCTCCCCGTCAAAGGTAAACTTCTTTATAGAGTATGACTTATAAACTCCTGACCAGGTCTCTACAGCCCTGGTGAGCTGCGTCCAGTCCGTCTTTGCAGCCCCACCCCAGCAGTTCTCCACCTCACTCTCTCTACCCCACCTGGTTGGGATGCCGTCTGTGCCTCCATGTGCTCGGCTCTCTCCCACCTTGGGGATCCTGCACAGGCTGGTCCCTCTGCAAGGAATACTCCTTTCTCCTGTTTCATAATGGCTCCTTTGAGTGCACTTCAATAATCCACAGACTGTTTCAGTTCTCTCCGGCCACCTTCATGATTCAGCATAATCACTCTTTTAACCCTGACACTTAAAAAAGAAGAAAAGAAAAGAAGAAGGCAAACCATGTATCAAGTGCACAGCAGGCCCCAGAATAGAAGGCCCCAGAACATGCAGGTCTCACCTGGCTTTGCTTTGGAAGGGAAGTGACTTATTTGGAACTTATCTGCTAATAGCTCCTCCAGGACCATGGCTCTGCTGTGTGGCTCCCCATCTTTCCAGACCCAAAGAGAAGCTGAGGAGACAGTCTGATCAAAGGTTTGACCCTTTATGACCCCTGCATCCTCTCCATCAGAGCAAGACAAGATTTTCACTGGCCCCTCTTTCCCAAGGCTGTTGTATCAGAAGAATTGGGGTGGGAGGCTTATTTCTCATTGACTTTTTGCCCCTAAAAACACAGGCAGAAGAGACAGAGGATCTAAATTTTGCTGACTCAACTACTTTATCATTTATAATAGTATCTCAGTCTAGGTTCCGCCCAAAGAGAGCTTTTGACAAGAACTTGGGTGAAGGAAGTCTTTCTGGGAGACAATCCAGGAAGCAAACCTCAAAGAATGAGGAACATGAGAGAGGGAGGGGAGAAAAGTCAATAAAGGGCGTGTCAATGGTTGGTTACAGCTGTTGGCAACTGGGGCTAAATCTCACTGAAGTGCCGTGGAGAACAAGGCTCAGAATTGCCCCATGGAAGGGCAGGGAGGCTGGGACATCTCCCCATCAACTCAGTGCTCCACTGGCTGGGCTGCCTCTGGGGTCGGTACACTCCCCCACACTTCCAGGCTGCACTGCGCCTGTGCTGATGACCTTCTACTGCTTCAGAGAAAGCCCTGAAGCAGAAAATCAGAGATGCAAACTGCAGGGTGGGGGGCACAATCATGAAATTGTCACCACTGCAGTGTAGAAATCAACTGAGTCAAAGGCTGTGGTAGGGAACCCTAAGTGTCTGCTACAAGCAAGATGTTAGCTGGAACTCCCCCTGCTGTGGTTTCACGAAGGTGTCCATGTGACAGGTGTCAGGAGATCAAAGGCAGTGTGAGGGAGCTCCCCCCTCATGGGATTTACAGCTGGGATGAAGGGGAACCTGTGTCACTGCTCTTGGAACCCCTTATCCATGGATGGGGACTTGAGAGAGGGAGATGGGAAAGAAATTTCTTTGGAAATAGCTTATTTTATTGTGAGTCCCCACCTTTTCCCTCAAAGGATAGACAATGTTGTGTATGACCACAAGCCAAGTGAGCGGACTTTAAGGAGAGCACTTGGAGAGCTTTGAAATGTGTGCTCTGCAGGTGAGGGTCTGAGGAGACAGGAACCTGGGTCAGGCCTGGGAGAGTTAGAACTGACTGTGGATTGAGATGAGACTCTCACTGGGCAGCCAGGAATGTGGTGCTTGTTGTGGATCTTGGAATTTGCCAGGGCAAGGAGTGTGTTCTGTGGGCAACCCATGAGACACAGCCTGCTTGGTTGGTCTGGGTACTGTACAGTGGGGACAGTTGGAGGGGCAAGGGGAGGAGATGAGATGTATGGCCAGATGTCCAGGGGCTGAGAAAGGAGTTTCAAAGGACCAGCCAGAATAGAGATGCATCCACCCTGGGTCAAGAATAGGAGAGAGGGAATCAGCAGAAACTCTTAAGAACCCACAAAACTGCTCCTCAAGAGAAAAGAGTCCATCTTAACCATCTGCCAGACCCGCAGAGAGCAAAGCCACTCAGCCTGGTAAGAACAATTTCATCACCTTCCCTCCCTGCCCCACCTCCTGGAGAGGGGGAATGTGAGTTGGGGGACGTGAGTTGAGGGAAGCAGAGGTGAAGGGTGAAGCTGAATAGAGAGCAGGCCCTTTCTCTCTTCCCCTTTGCAGGCTTCCAGCCTGAAACAGATCCAAGCCAGGGGAAGGGAGATTGTTTGATTCTAATTTAATTTTGGAATTTTCCATATTGCATGGGACAGGAAGTTCTCATTTCTGAACTGAGACCAGAAACCAAGGCCACAGTTCTCATCTGGGGCAGGGCAGGAGAAGACCACTCCACTGAAGAAGATTAAAGGAGTAAAGAGGGGCAGGGTGTGGCTTCAGGGCAGGGCCAAGAGATGAATAAAAGCCAAAATGGAAATCAGATTTTCAGAGCACTTGAAAATCACGTTCTGAGATGTACTTTCTCCACCTTGGACCAGGAGGGCTTAGCGAGGATGGGGGGTGGGGGGTGAAAATTATTTTCCTTTGCTCAATAAGCATGATGTACTGTTTATACTTATTTATGGAGACAGATTTAATTAATCTGAACACAGTTACCTTTTGGCTGATCAGTATATTCACTGTAGCAGCCTTGAAGGTACCTTTGGATCTCCTTTCAAGAGAGAGCTTGTCTTCAGCTGTGAGGGTGCAGTTAACTGACAGCCTCCAGTGGATCCATTTTCAGGCCCAGCCCATGACTGTGCACAGTGGGGGAGCTGGATCTTTGCTCCAGAGCTCACTGCTGAGTTAGAGGAGACTGTCTGCTCTGCATCATGGTCCAAGGCCCTCCTTGCTCAATTCTGCTTCCTTCCCCTTTTATCTTTTACAGGCAATACCCTCTCCCCCATTAAACCTCTTTCATTCCTAACTTCAGCATCTGCTTCTCAGAGAACCTAACTGATAGCCTCACCCTTTAAACTCTGAACATTATGCACATGACCTTGTTTTCATTTTTTTCCCCTTTGCTTTAATTATTATTTTTTCAAATGGGAAGATTAAATAAAAATGTTTTTATACTCAGACTGAGACCTGATCTACCTTTCCAAAAGCTCCCAATCCCTGAGGTTTGATACTCATAAATTGAATTTTAAGAACTATCCACTCATTCTCTTCTTCACTTAGGAAATCCTACTCATCCTTGAGGTCTCAGCTTAAATATCATTTCCCCTTGAAAGCTTTTCCCTGGCCCTCCTGACTTCAACTTTGCTAACCCCCCTCGGTATAGTCTCTCCTGCTTTATCCTTCGGTAAGACTCATCATACCTGCAGTTACTGGTCTATAGTCAGTGGTTAGCCTACGAGCTCCACAACGTCATGATCTAAAATTTTTGGTCACTGCCAATCCCCCAGCACTTAGGACGGTGTCCAAGCCATAGAAGCTGCTCAATAAGTATTTGATCAAGTGCCAAATTTGCTAACCTAAAGATATGACATGTTGGCACAGGACCAGAACTGAATATATCTGCCTCCATTGTGCTCTTGGTCTTGACACACCACTCTTGTTTGCTCATCACAGCACAGACTCAGGGAATTGAGTATTAGAAGAAATTTAAAGATTATCTCATCTGCAGACCCATCTGATGCCAGAGATGCTGCAGAAAATCCAAGCAAGTCATTGTCCAGTCTTACCTTGAGCACCAGGGACAGAAACTACCTCCCAAAGCCACCCATTCCATCCTGGACAGCTTTGACCATCAGATTTTCTATTTGGATCAGCTCTCTGGTCCAAACTGCTTTTTTAAGGAGAGTTAAAGTTCTTCCTCTGGTTAGTCTCTCAAGTAGGAACATAACTAACTTTAGATAGAAAGACTTCATTCATTCATCCATTCCAAAAATATCAATTGAGTGCTGCATGTGTCTAGCATGGGGGCCAGCAACAGTGGGACATACAGAGATGTCCCAAAACATGCAGTCTGTCTGGGGAGATAAAGATGTTTATAAGATCAAATGATCGCAGCCACAGAGTAACTGCCTAGGGAGAGCCGAGGCGGAATATGATAAGAGCCAAAGGACAGGGCCGGATGGGAAGTGTTCTAAGAGCTCAGAGCAGGGGGTATGTTTGCAGGGTCTGGAATACAGACAGGCGGAGTCTAGGAAGGCTTCAGTTAGGAAGTGGGATTTGAGCTGAGTTTGAGGAACAGGAAACATGAGTCAGTGTCTAAACCATTTTGACAGTCAGGCTCAGAGAAAGAACTCTTCCCAAGTGGACAGGGAGGGGCTTAGTGAGGATGGAGGAAGTTAGAGGGCTGCTAGATAGGGTGAGAATTATTTCTCTCTCCTCAGGACTGTCAACCAGTCACTCTGTCTCTAGCAGCCTCCTGACAGCTTGTCTTCTTCACAGCCTTGGGGGCTGACCAAGTCAGCCTCCTGGGGGCTTTGGTCTGCTGACATGGGGACCTTTCCATGGCTGCTCCTCCTCTCACTGCTCCTGGAAGGTGAGCGAGACTGCAGCTCCAGGACAGGAGTGTATCCTGCCCCCTCTGTTCTCCTGTTCTGCTGGGCCTTGGGCTTCTGCTTCCTTTGGGGCTGAATGCTCCTGTTCTTCTGGAGTAAACAGGAATAGGGTGTGGCTTCAGGGAAGGCCCAAGAGATGAAGAAATCTGGGGATATAGAAGGGAGAGGAGCCCCATGATGGCAAATGGAGAAAGTAAAATTTGGAGGCTGAGGGCACAGATGGAAGCCAAGCCCTGGTAGGTGCTCAAGCAGGTGCAGCAGAAAGCTAGAGTCAGAGAGGCAGCTGAAGGACAAGATTGAGTGTGGGGCCATTGAGGCTGCTCAGTTGAGATTGAGATCATGGCCCCACTGCCAGGCTCAGCAGCCCAGAGACCAGCTTTTCTTCCTTTATCTGTAGCCAAAGGGTACTCTGGAGATGGTCCAGATCCTGAGGACGTGCTTGCGGTCCTCCAGGAGTCCATCAGTCTCCCCCTGGAAATACCATCCGATGAAGAGGTTGAGAACATCATCTGGTCCTCCCAAGTAAGGCTTGCCACTGTGGTGCCAGGGAAAGAGGGACATCCAGCCACCATCATGGTGACCAACTCTCGCTACCAGGGCCGAGTGAGCTTCCTGGACCCCAGTTACTCCCTGCACATCAGGAATGTGACCTGGGAGGACTCGGGGCCTTACCAAGCTCAAGTCAACCTGAGGACATCCCAGCTCTCCACCATACAGCGTTACAACCTACGTGTCTACCGTGAGTTTAGGCTGGGAACCATGAAGCTGCTTCTTCTGGCTCTCCTGAGCTTCCCACACAAAGGAGTAGGGCTCACAGGACTCGGGGTTACAGTTTGAGGGGCTGGGACTGGAAGGCAGACTGTCTCCTGTGTGCCCAATCCAGTATCTGAGCTGCACCACAGGTAGAGTGACCTGGAGCAGCAAGGCCCCGGGCACTGAGGTTTTCTGTGGACATGTCCAACTCAGTGAGAGGGGTCAGGGGTTTTGTGTATTGACCTCTAGGGGGCCTTTCTGTCCCAGTGAGATTTTGCATCCAGGAGATGAGTGCCACCATCATTCTTGAGCATTTTATCCTCTTGTGTGACTTGAGGGCTACTAATCAGTATCTCCTTCCTTCTTGATCCCAAATTTCTTCTTAGTGCCTGTGACACTGACAGATATTCTACCTTGAATCTTGCAGAGACATTGATTAAACTATAAATGCCCCTGGGAGAGGTGATAGTATGTTTTGGGATCAAGAAGGCAGAATGGGGTTTGGAGGAAGGTGGGGTACAAAGGTAAGAGAGAGAAAGCAAGGCAGAAAGGGGAAGTAGAAGATGCCAAAGACACCTCTGTCTACCTGAGCAGCTGCCCTGGGACCTTGCAACCATGGGTTTTATGGCAGTTGGGTTTTGTTAGTTTTTGCTTATTTGTTATGTAGGTGAAGGGGCTCTCAAAGGGCTGTGTTGAGGAGCTTAGGAAAAAGACCCAACCCCTTTTTACTTAAGGGGTCTTTGTATTTCTCCTTCATCTAGGACGGCTGTCGGAGCCCCGGATCACCGTGAACTTTGAGATGTCTGGGGAAGGTCCCTGTAATGTGTCCCTGACGTGCTCTGTAGAGAAGGCAGGGCTGGATGTGACCTACAGCTGGATATCCTGGGAGGACGGCGCTGACGCAGCCCATGAAGGCTCTGTCTTCAGCACATCCTGGAGGCCTGGGGACAATGCCCTCTCCTACACCTGCAGGGTCGGAAACCCCATCAGCAACATCAGTTCCCGCCTCATCCCTGCTGGGCCCTTCTGTGCAGGTACCAGGACCCCAGAGACAGCCCCTGAGCTACTGCAGGACCTCAAGGCCATCACCTCCCTCCCCAGATTTTCCCAAGAGAACACACAGAATCTAGAACCTAAGCCCTCCCATAGAGACTCGACACCTTTTCCTACTGCTCCCAAGTTCCAAAGGTCTCTTCCAGTCTCTCACTCAGCTTGAGATTGCTCCCCAAATGTCAGTTGCTGAGCTTCCGTGAATAGAGTATATGTGTCCAGAGACACTTGCAAAGGAACATCAACTGACTGTGAACTTGAGACCCGTCCTGTGGGATTAGGGGTAGGTGTCTGCCCCTTAATCTGGGCCTCACCCCTTCCTCTGGTGAGTGCCTCTCTCCTTCCCTTCTTCTGCCCCAGATCCTGGCTACACTTTGGAGAAGGCCTCCCCTTCCTTCTGCCTCCCAGCCAAGGGATCGCTCTTCCTCTTGCTCTTGATGACCCTGGCCTTGGGACTCTGGCGCATCCGAGTCCAGACGAGATGCAAAAGGCCAAAGATGAAGAAACTCAGGAGAAATAGAATGAAACTGTTAAAGAAGGGGAAGCCTGGTCCCAGCCTGGCCTGATGAGTCTTTGGGGACCCCTGCCGAGAGCTTTGTTTCTTCCCAGCCCCCAGGGAATGCTTCCTCACCTCCCAGGGGGCTGAGGGGTGGATGTCCAAAGGGCCATACACTCGAGGGAAGGTTGTCTGGCAATAAAGTCAAATGAAGTGACCACCACTTGGGAGGAGCTGTGTTTGGTCCTTGGCTGTAAGACTCTGCAAAACCCCACTTCCCTCCCTTTCCTCCGTCTCTAAGCGTCCTCCTCCACACCCACATGCTTCCCTGTGCTTGCCTTTGGGGAAGAAAGTGAGTCTAAAGACTCGTACACGATGAGGTGTTGGTATGTTATTGTTCACACTTATCCCATTACCCACCAACATACATAATATTTAAAATCTAAATAAGAAAAGTGAGAGATTCCTTTGAACCTAACTGAATCTGCAACTCCTAAATGGGAGAATTTCAGGCACTGAAAACCCTATACAAGACTGGTGTTATTCCTGCTAAGATTTTTCTGCTCTCATACCCCTTACTTCCACCCTGGCAGATGAGTTCACTTAACTACTCCCACACACCCCTCTCCAATCTAGAGGTCGTCCTGCCCAGGGAGATATGACGCAGCCTGGTGCAGCCCTGCTCTGGGACTTTGCAGTCATCTCCCTGATGCCAGCTGCTCTGGGCCTCTGGCGCCTACCCCACAGAGATGACAACTTGGCTGGATCAATAGCTGAGGTTGGGACCCTTGACTTCTGTTTGTGGTTGATGTTATTGTCCTGTCTGTCCTTTCTCTATAGATTTCCGTGTCTCAGACCTTCTCTCTGGACTCTTGTCCTGGGTTAATGCCCACCCTTTACACACACATACCCTGGCAAAGGCCCTTAAATTTATGTTCTTGCTTTTTCCCGAGCCCAACAATCAGACTGAACTCCTCTCCCAGGACTGATGTGCCACTGCCCAAGTCTTGGTCATCCTCTCAAAATCAGATCTTGTGGATGTTATTTATCGCAGCTTCCATGGGGGTGGTGGTGGCGGGGGCTGGGGGGTTGGGGAGGGAATTGGAAGCCGTCCAAGTGACAGGACATGTGCAGGTAGTGAGTGAGTTAGAAGAGGTGTCCCTGTGGCTTGGTGGTTAAGTGCGTGCGCTGC